ACCTCGTGATCCGCCCGTGTCGGCCTCCCAAAGTGCTGGGATTACAGGTTTGAGCCACCGCGCCCGGCCCTTTATTTTCAAATGAACAAAAGCTGTGCTTCAAAAATTCACCCCAGTATCCGGTTCCGTCATTACTCCTTCAGGCATACCATGTTAATGTTTACATCTCAAACTCAAGTGCACACTAACAAACTAGAAGAAAAAAATACTTTAACCTTGGCACACAACGGTTGTTAAATATTTGCTGAGTGAATAAACCTACCAAAAATCCGTATCTCTACAAACTCAGGTAGAAGTATAAAATAATCCAGTACAGCCTAGATACATATGCGGGGATTTCTTTTATAGGTTTTGTTACTGAAGAGCTATGGATGTGGTGGCAACAAGAAGCAATTTGTTGTTGAGAAGAAAACAAAGTAAAAAAACTATTCGACATAGTATCTGGACCATTTTCAACATAATGGATTCAATTGGGACCTTAGGGGGAAATGACAAAGCAGGGTCATCTTTCACTTCACGAAATATACTCTAGGATATATGGACGCCAAAATTAGATAAGTAAAAATTTATTTATTGCTGGGACTATACCAGGGATGATAGGTATGGTATGCAATTTATCCCTACTTCCAAAGTAGGTACTGAAATGGAGTTTTAATTTCAGTAAGTGAAGAAAAGCCCTAGGACTCTGGTTCCCAAACTCCGCTGCACATTGTAATCACTTGGGGATTTTAAAAAAAACTACTGGCTCTCAGCCCCAAACATTCTGATTTAGCTGCCATTGGGTACAACTTGGGCATGGGGGTGGGGTGGGGTGGTGGTGTTAAAGTGCCACAGGTAATTCTAACGTGTAGCAGCTCTGGCAATCACTGCCCCAGGGTTCTCAAATACATGACGTGCAACAACTTACACCTGAGGTCTGAGAATCTTCAGCTGAGTGAGGATGTCCTTCTGTACCCTGGGATTAGCTGTGGCCGTAAGAGCCATCACCGGAACAGAAGGAAACTTCTGGCGAAGCATATTCATTCTTTTGTAATCTTGACGAAAATCATGTCCCCACTAGTTGGGAAAAAAAAAATGCTTTTCAGACTATTTGGAGCTTCCCTCTATAAAAAGCCAACACTGCTCAATATATTAAGAACCACCTTATTCTTCAGTAAAATAGCAGACTAGTTCACTCAACGTGGGTTTTTCTTCAGTATTGAAAATACATATATTGTTGGTAGTATGTATTTATTGGTATTTCCGGATATAAAAAATAATATTTACCTGACTGACACAATGTGCTTCATCAATAACAAAACGTGCCAAGAGCTTCCTCTCATAGAGATTCTCCAGTGTAGAAATGAGTCTGTTACTTGCACAGATCTAGGCCAGAAATATATTAGACATTTAAAAACACTGAAACACATCACCTTATGATTCTGTTGTCTTCGAATTCCATTACAACTTAAGCTGTATTAAAACCTCCATATAAGGCCGGGTGCGATGGCTCACGCCTGTAATCCCAGCACTTTGGGAGGCTGAGGCAGGCGGGTAATCTGAGGTCGCGAGTTTGTGACCAGCCTGACCAACATGGGGAAACCCCGTCTCTACTAAAAATACAAAATTAGCCGAGCGTGGTGGTGCATGCCTGTAACCTCAGCTACTCAGGAAGGCTGAGGCAGGAGAATTGCTTGAACCCAGGAGGCAGAGGTTGCAGTGAGCCGAGATCACGCCACTGCACTCCAGCCTGGGCAACAGCAGCAAAACTCGGTCTCAAGAAAAAACAAAACAAACAAAAAAAACACCTCCATATAAAATTGGTTCTTATTTCAATCTATGAAGAGAACAGCAGAAGTAACAGAAAATAGCAGATCACATTTTAGAATGTTCACCAACATTAAGCAAACAGCTTATTTAGCAGGTTAGTGGTTCTAAAACTTTTGTCTGCTTCAAGACATCTGAGGGCCACCACACATTTACACTGGCAACACGGTTCCATATCTGGGTTATATGGATGCATGTTGGCTGGGGAAGAAATTATATATTTTATAGCTCTCTTCATAACAGGGCCTAGAAGCAAGGACATCTCAGTAGCAACGAGCACATGTAGCACTCACATCTTGACGGACATGTCAAAAGGACAGAGAAGCCAGCTTGATAGAGATGTCTCACTGGTCACATCTAGGACAATTAGAACATCAAAATACTTGATAATTGATTGTAACTCACTGAATAAATTAAGAAGTCATGAGTTCATGCTGTATCAATAAATATGTGGGCTGGGCACAGTGGCTCACGCTTGTAATCCTAGTACTTTGGGAGGCCGAGGCGGGTGGTCAGGAGTTCCAGACCAGCCTGGCCAACATGGCAAAACCCCATCTCTACTAAAACTACAAAAATTAGCCAGGTGTCGTGGCACACACCTGTAGTCCTAGCTACTTGGGAGGCAGAGGCAGGAGAATTGCTTGAACCCAGGTTGCAGTAAGCTGCAGTAAGCTGAGAAAGTTATACAAAAATTCTTTGCACTCCAGCCTGGGTGACAGAGTAAGACTCCACCTCCAAAAAAAAAAAAAAGAAAAAAAAGTGTAATCAACGGGAAAACTCTTTTTACAGCAAAACGCCAACTACATTTAAAAAATAATTTTATATCTATTATAGTAATAATTGATTTGAGGAAGAATCATCAATGGATGCTAAAAGTTGTGGGTAAAATTCTGATCACTAACGGTATTTACATAGTCTCAAAGCATCCCACTACAGGATATCTACTAATTACAAAGGCCGAAAAGAAAGGATAACTTTGTAGCAGAGAAGTCTATCAGACACTACCATAACCAAGCGATCAGTTAACTAACATTGTCAGTAATGGGACGAATCGACATCAAGTGCCTCCTGACAGTGGGCATGAGAACATATCACCGTTTCTGTGATATTCAAGGAGTAACAGGAATCTAAACAGGAGGAAGCAAGATAAACTCAAATTGAGGGATAGTTCTCAAAACGACTGGCCTTCAAAAATGTCAAAATCATTAAAGACATTAAGAGAGAGAAACTGTTTACAAGATTACAGAGAAGGACAACTGAATGCATGCAAGATCTGCGATTTTCTTTTGCTATAAAGGACATTATTGGGACAACTAGTGAAACCGGAATAAGGTTTACAGATTAAGTAATAGTACTGCATCAATATACATCTCCTAATTTTGATCATTATACTGAGGTTATATAAGAGAATACTTTGTTTTTAGGAAATGCACAGTGAAGTACTTAGGGTTTAAAAGGATACCATGTCTGCAATTTTCAATCAAATGTTTCAGGAAAATATATGCAGAGAGAGAATAACAAAGCAATTATAGTAAAATGCTACCATTTAGGGTTTCTGGATGAAAGTTATACAAAAATTCTTTGCACTACATATAAAAAATTTTGTTAAAATTTTAAAAATATATGTATTCTAGTGGTCTTTAATATATTTTAAAATAATGATATAAATACAAACCTTTTCTGGAGTGACATACAGAAGTTTTATGATTGGGTCTTTTTTTGATAACTGGAGGTAAATATTTGTAGCTTCTGAGTCAGTCTTATCACCTGTCAGATATGTAGCTGGAATCTAAGTATAAAAGTAGTAAACAATTTCAATTTTATACATTAACCTGACAAAATTACATTTGTCTTTAGGTTTTATAAATACTTTATTAGTCACATATCAAATCTATCAAAGGAAATATCTCAATATAACAAGTATGTAAGTACATACATTTTAAAAAAACCCTTATTAAGTGTAACTCAGGCAGGGCGTGGTGGCTCACACCTGTAATTTCCGCACTTTGGGAGGCTGAGGCAGGTGAATCACTTGGGGTCAGGAGTTCGAGACTAGCGTGGCCAACACGGAGAAACCCCATCTCTACTGAAAATACAAAAATTAGCCTGGCGTGGTGCTGGGTGCCTGTAATCCCAGCTACTCAGGAGGCTGAGGCAGGAAAATTGCTTGAGCTTGGGAGGCAGAGGTTGCAGTGAGCCAAGGTTGCACCACTGCACTCCAGCCTGGGCGACAAAACAAGACTCTGTCTTTAAAAAAAA